GCGAATGCCCATGGAAAGCGCTAACATTAGACGATCCACCGTGTGTACAAAGGAGGATAATGGCCGGGAATTTATTTTAATACTTCAAAGGGATATTGGAGTTCGATCGAGACGAAAGAGCTGTTTGTTTTAGTACGTCGGAAAAATGGCCGCCGCCGTACGCGTCGATAAATAAGTAGTTTTATTATGTTACAAATTTTCCTTTCTCCTCGCAACGGCTTGTCTCTCCCGCTCCTTTATCGCGATCTTTTTATCAGAATCTTTATAAAAAGCGCTCTTCTCATTGTCTCTGTACCAGACAGAGTACATGGATTCTCGTCCGCATTAAGTAATTCCTTTTGGCTATGATTTTTTCTCCTCGTTTCGCTCATCGTTACTACCTCGAAATTGGCGATCGTCTGATCGTTAATGAGAACCCCGCGTTTAATATATCTTCGACCCGCGTCATTTTATCGCCAGTCATGATGGATGTTACAGGACGCCCCTCTCTTTCTCTCTCTCTCTCTTGTAAGAATATTCAATTTCCAGCAATATCAATGCCAGCATTGTCGAGAAATGGCCCTCCCGGCCCCCTTCCTCTCTCCCTCTCGCAATACCAGCAGTGGTACGTATGGAGTTGATGATGCAGTTGTATGTAATGAGGTCATTCCTCTGAATCGAGTCCGTGCGAGTGTAGGAAGGTGACGTATTGCGAATCGAATGAAGTAACTTTGTAGCCGGTGGTTTCAATTTCAGCGACAAAGTGCCGCCGGCTCTGTTAGCGATTGCCCGTAGCTGTTGTGCGATTTCTTTTTTCTCTTCCTCTTTTTTGCATTCCGACATTCCGATATTCACTTTGTCGTGCCTCTTTCTGCAAAAAGAAAAGAAAAACGAGAGAGCTCCGGCGATTTCGCGCACAGTGTGCTCACGGTACAAAAAATCTGCTCGTATCTTTGAGGGAAAGAAAGAGGAATGGAGGGTGGGAGGGAGGGAGGGAGGATAGAATATTTGCGAATAAACCAGATACACGGGCGTGCAATGTGATCGATTACGTAGCACAAATAATACCTTGTATTACTTTGTTTTCGCTGTGTTCGTTTTATTTCGCTGTCTAATTATATTCTGAAGCAAATAAGCGCGCGAGTGTTCGTATGCTGAGAAACTCTCTGTGTTAAATTTTTAACATACCCTTGTGTCAATTTGACACATTGTCGTTATGTCATTTTCACCACTCTGAGTTAAGTCTATATTCGGCTTTCCTAAATATTAAAATGTGTTAAAGTGTTAAAATGTGTGATACAATTTACATGCAACATGTAGGGCATATTGAGCCTAGAAGTCACACACAGCTTATATCTCACGTAATAAATGGAGGAGCATATTCTTCTCTACAGTATAGGTTGCTTGTATCGTGTCAGTCGAGTATACGAAATAGCTTATGACAGAAACATCGCATGTGGTATTTGCAAGCACTTTCTCAAAATTGGACACGACGAGTTAATCTTTTTTGTCTCTATCTTTATTGATCCGTTTGTTTTGAAATTTTTATCGCAATCTCTCTTTTTTGTGAGATATATTATGGATTTAATTAATTTTTCCTGCATTTAATTAATTGTTACTGCAGCATAATTTATAATTTCTTTTATCCGAATGTCTGTTCGGGTTAAGTTGATTCGAAGTGGGGCTAGTTTTTCACGCATTGCGACATTGTACTTATGATGGTACTTATGCAAGAACATGGAAGTATAACTTGTAACTTTTTTATGTATAAATTTATATAAGAATAATATTTTTTTTTCTTTTACCTGAAAGTTGTAAGTATATAAAAATGTGCATAATATTAAAAATTATTGCATGTATATTTTCTTTTAATTTTATATGTAAGAGGTATGACAATTAGATCCGGTCTTCCCTACATACTCTGTGACATATTTTATACACTGACAAGTAAACCTACCCAAAAGTTACACTCCAATCTCTTTCTAATTTGGCACAAAAGTAGAAATACAAAAAATATTTAGGTCATAATTTTTCCTTTTTTGTTTTCACTTTGAGTTTTACGGGCAGTTTATAACTTTTTAATGTTCTCACTCCTATTATCAACAAGTGCAACAAAAATGCATAAGAAATAAAATTGAATACAAAATATAGTTAAATAATTTTAACAAAATTGGCATAGCTGAGACACGAACTATTCTAAATTTCTTTAGCCGAGATTCCAACTGAAATATTAAAAATCTGTATTAAATTAGTCAAAAATGGTTCGAATCTCGACCAAACCGAGAAATTATTTGTATAAATAATTTTTTCAACTTTTTACATGTTTTATTTAAACATTTTATTATTTATACAAATAATTACTTTCATAAAATTGTTTTCATAAATTGCTTTCATAAAAAGAATATTAGGAACGATAATAGGAAACACGATATTAGGAAAATATATATTTTTCCATTTATGAAAATTTTTTCTCAATGTAAAATGTATATTAGTACTGTATGTAAAGTGTGTATAAATAAATTGTGTTATTTGTGAACATTAATTTACCTTGTGTTAAATTAACATAAAAAACCAGAGGGGATAAATTGGAACACATGAAATGTGTTAAATTTGACACAAATTTATCGCAGCGTAGTAATTATCAGAATTATAATGCATTGTTTAGTATTTAAATAACGATCTCCTTAATTTCTCTTTTGTAATCAGCATTATTCACGGTTACAAAATATTCACGATATACCGACCGTGCGGATGTCACGAAATCACCGGACGCCTTCCACCTCGTTTAGTGTTTCTAATTTAAATATTTAGTTAACGTTTCTCCTCACACTTTTCTCACCGGCGTTTGTCTTGCCGCCGACTTTCCAGCGCGTCAGCGATCGCACGTTCAGTCCCCGGGGTCAGAAATTCGACACGCGCGATGAAATCAAAACCATACGTTAATTGGGTGAAAATTGCCGGCGAGAGAAAACGAAGACCGGACCGCAGGGGGTTGGGTGAGAGAAGGGGCGAAAGGGCTCATAAGAAAGGACAGTCGGTGTGTGCGCGGGTATGTTGCACGTGTACACATCTATGTGTATGTGTGTGTGTGTGTGTGTGTGCGCGCTGCAGGGGGCAGAAGGTAGCAGAAGGGAAGGGGGTTACGCTCGGAGTTTGACACAGTCAGAGACCGGCGTTGCCAGGCAACCTCTAAGGGTGGAAACCCACATTGGCGTAGGGTATACTTGCGACGAATTTATGTGCCATTACCATTCCTCATCCCCCGCGGAAACACGTGGAAAAACGCGTGAATGAACCCGACGGTATAATCGACGGATGAATACAACGAAATTGACTATTTATTCTCATGACGTCTAATGATGCCCGTATTGTCGCGAATAATACGCTCTCCGCGCGCTGTAAATCGCGAAGATGGCAATCTCCCTTAATGAAGTGGCCGGGATCGCGCTGCACCCGAGCTCATTTTACGTCATCCTTTCGACGCTCTCGTATCAGACATTGAACTAAATGACTTTATTTGGATTTCATGTCGCGATAGAGATATTCAATCTACCGTCATGCCGTGGATTACGTCTGCGTCAGCGAGACATCTTGTTAGATAATCGCCACTGAGACAAGCGAATCAAGCCACGACAAACAGCTCGTTACCCTTCGTCTTTCTCTGTATGAGAGAGAGAGAAGGAAAGAGAAAGGCTGTTAATTTAATATCGCATCCCGACATTATCAACAGGGAAAATCGTTTCATTCCCGTCCATCACCTGACCAATTTTCGCAGATGTGTGTCATTATTTGTCGATTAGCAATCATATGTTCGAGTTTGATTTCTTGTCGGGGGGGAGGGGGAACGCGGTTTTACTTCATCTACCCTGAGGAGAAAACTATCTTAAAAATAAGAAAATATTTATTCGATGGTTACTGATAACATATATATTTAAACAAATCTTATGCTGCAATTCTAAGCAAATATATGAGTAAATCGTAAAATTGTAGCTTACGAAAAAAAAAAGAAAATCGTAGATATTTACGAGTTATCGTATGACATACAATCCGCATAGACTAGCAGATTTACTTTTAAATTCTTACGAGTCTAGAGTTTTGTCTAGAATTGCAGTATAAATTCTATTGTTTAAATAGAAAAGCAGGGGTTTCAAGAAAATGTATATTTTGTTGACACCTTTGGAAGAATATTTTATATTAGTAACAAGAGTAAATATGTTACCACTAGCACCCACCGAAGAAATATTTTGTATCCCTTAGATATTTTTGCCTCTCAGTGCACATTCGCAGCATCGATTCTACGCCGGTGGAGGATCCGGCACTGCAGCCCGTGGCAAATTCTATGGTAAATGTAGTATACCATGGGAGATCGATATATAGACAGAAGTCCCATGGTGGCTTCCTCTTTCAGTCCACCAGTGCGGGGCATTTTTAATCGTCGTCGTCATCGCCGCCGCCGTTGTCGATACTCCATCTCGCTCTCACAAATAACCGACGCGACGTTATCATCGGCCCGCGACACTTTTTCCGGATATCACGCTAAAGTGCCACGTGAAGTGGTGCTCTGCGAAACGAAATTGGCCGGCGAGTCGATGATCACCTTACAAATTGCATGCGAGACCTGCATGAAGACCCCCGCGACTTACGTGTTCTTCAATTATTTCAATGGTCCCCTCGTTACTACCCTCGCGGCAACGGCGACCGCGACGGTCCTTGCAACTTGTTGCGTTCAATTTCGTCGTAAAGCAGAAATTGCGTGTTCGCTCATAATCCTTTAGATTACGGGTCTATACGGTAATGCTGGGAGTTGCCTGACAATTTTACGGGGTCGTTGCATGCGACGGAGGTGGCGCGACGTCCGCGTAAATTATGCGGTGAAGTCTTCGCCCCGGGACGTTAAATATTCGCCGCTTAAATGAATGGTTAACGAGACGTCAATTAACACCCGCGGCCGCGGCCGGTCGACCGCCTCGACGTTGAGCGACTTTGCGACTTTATTTCGTACGCGGGCTTGTCTGTTCCAGTCGAGTGATTCTGGAGGTTTTCGCCTACGCAGAAGATCGCCCCAGGCAATCGCAATGGCCACGCTGTCCTTGCGTATCTCCATACCGGAGAAGAATGCCACCAAGATGATGCAGTTCGATCCCAGCACCTCGGTCTATGATGCCTGCCGCATTATCAGAGAAAAACTCGCTGAAGCCAGCAACATGGGTCAACGTAAGTACTCTGATATTGTGTTCCCCTTCGCATATATTGAATTTGCCAGTACGTTGTTGAAATGAAAGATTACGAGACGAGACTCTCGCGACACATATCTCCCAAGAATTTCCTCTATTATTTACTAATATTATTCGAAATTTGAACAAGTTCATTGAATTTTAAGTCACTTTTCTTTTAACGTCTTTTAAATTACGTTTGTTTTAACGAAACAATATGTCAAAGTGTTTTCTGTTTTTACTTATCGTTTAGCCACATTTCAGACAGTTGTCAGATTTTGTGTCTTACAAAGTAAGCTATTCTTTAAACTAGCGAATCTTATCTTTTGCGAGCTCAAATAATATTCATTCGTGAAAAGAAATGTATGAATTCTTTTTACTAAATATTTAATATCTATTGTTTAGCTTTTTTGTATCTAACGTGATACAACAGATATTAAATTCACAATGACCGCGTAAATCGTAAAGACGTGTCATCCACGTTGTTATTCTCGCAGCGAAAGACTACGGTCTCTTCCTCTCTGATGAGGACGTGAAGAAAGGAGTCTGGCTCGAGCCCGGGCGAAACCTTGACTATTACATCCTGAGGAATGGGGATCTGCTCGAGTACCGTCGTAAGCTCCGTACGCTCAGAGTCCGCATGTTGGATGGGACCCTAAAGACCATGCTGGTGGATGATAGCCAGCCCGTGGCAAATCTCATGGTAGTGATATGTACAAAGATTGGCATCACGAATCACGACGAGTATTCCCTGGTGCGCGAGCTCGTAGACGAAGAGACCGAAAATCAGAAACCCGGCAATTTCGGCACGCTCACGTTGAAACGGAGAAAAGAGGAGAAGGGTGAGAGGGACGCCAAGATGGATCAGTTGAGGAAGAAGCTGAAGACCGACGATGAAGGTGAGCCAACAGCTGTCTCTGTAATTTATTAAAATTTAATCGATACATTTTGAGATGAATAACAACGGAATGAATCGGAATATTCATTCCGGACAAAATATCACTATAGCAACATATTGATAAATAATAAATAGTTATAATTTTTACATAAATGATAAATATATTATTTAATTCGATTATTTTAACATTATTTAATTCAACTAGATTATATTAATATTATTCTGATAGTTGAAAACGATAATTTTTATTGCGGTTTTGATTCACGCATTATGAAGGTTCATATATTTTATTAATGTTGTGTTGCTCGTTTTACAGTGAACTGGATAGATCCTAGTAAGACCCTGCGCGAACAAGGCATCGACGAAGCTGAGACAGTGCTGCTGAGGAGGAAATTCTTCTTCTCGGATCAGAACATCGACAGTCGCGATCCTGTGCAGCTCTCGCTGTTGTACGTGCAAGCACGGGACGCAATTCTGGACGGTACGCATCCGATTACGCAGGAAAAAGCTTGCGTGTTCGCCGGCATTCAGTGTCAAATTCAATTCGGCGATCACAAAGAGGAGAAGCACAAGCCGGGTTTCTTGGAGTGAGTAGCAATTTGATACGCACTTCCATGATCTTGCCGACTGACGTCTCGTCCGCTGAACGTTGCGCTCTTTCTCTCTCTTTGCAGCCTCAAGGAGTTTTTGCCGCAATCGTATGTGAAAACAAAAGGAATTGAGAAGAAGGTCTATGCGGAACACAAGAAGCACATCGGGCTGTCGGAGCTGGAAGCCAAAGTCTTGTACACGAAAACCGCCCGGTCGCTCAATACATACGGCGTCACGTTCTTCTTAGTGAAGGAGAAGATGAAGGGCAAGAACAAACTGGTGCCGCGTCTACTCGGTGTGACAAAGGACTCGGTCCTGCGGCTTGACGAGAAGACGAAGGAGATCCTGAAGACGTGGCCGTTGACGACCGTGCGACGTTGGGGCGCTTCCCCGAACACGTTCACCCTCGACTTTGGCGACTATTCTGACCAGTATTACAGCGTACAGACCACTGAGGCGGAGCAGATTCTTCAGCTAATCGCTGGCTATATCGATATCATCCTGAAGAAACAGAAAGCGAAGGATCATTTCGGCATCGAGGGAGACGAAGGATCTACCATGGTGGAGGATAGCGTGTCGCCTCTCAAGTGAGTCCAAACTTCGTGTTTCCAACACCGGTTGCTTTGCTCCGCGAACTCAAGTGATAATCACCGTATTAGGAAAATATTAGAGCAATTATCGAGTCGGACTCGCGGCCGCGGAGCGGCCGACTTTATTCAAAGCGCGTCACACTGCGAGAACGTTTCTAGTAGTCGGTTACGACCATGGAGGAGTTTCTAAGGCGCCACGCAAACAAGCACATTCGTGCCGTCTCCAATTCTAACGGGTATTATTCGCCGAAGCTTACAAGATTTTACTTTGGATTTCAATTCACGCGTCTCATCCTTTCGACAGGGCCACCATCATGCAGCACGAGACCAGCAATGTCGGTAAAGGAAACGTAGAAGCTGTCTCGGTTGCGATTCCAGCTGTCATGAGGGCTGGAGGAGATGGTAAGCGTCTAGATATATTACTCCTTTATCCTGTATTTTATTTTAGCTTTTTTTATAATTTTTATAATCAGAGATGTTTACTACGAGTGTTACATAAACTGGATATATATAAGTTATAAGTTACTTTTTTTTTTAAATTTTTGAAGCAGTTCTTGCCGATCGTTACTTCAATATCCGTTTCAGCTTTCGGGAAGTGATCAATTTTACAAACTGAAAATTACATCTCGCTTAAAACTGTCAGACAGTATAGGTTACATCCCGAAACACTGCCTCTGCTTCTTTACTCGATACCTTTGGGGCAGGAAAGATCAATTCGCGATCCTTTGCAGGATTGAATCCTCGGATCCTGGCTGTTGGTCGATGTTACTGTATATAATATAAATAGATACACTTTCTTGTAAATACACGTTTGTTTAGCTTCAAGTGTTCGTGAAAGTGTCGCTTACGATGAGATTGACTAAGAAAACAAATGTCAAGTTCAGCTTTTCTCTCTCAGCGTAGAACGGCAGCGGTCGTGTTCTCTGCGCGCGAACAGACTCACGGTATCGAGGAGTCGTTCGCTAAGTTGTAAATAGAGCCCGGGAATTTTAGATTAGAGTGCATGGTGTGTGATTTGTAGGGGCCCGACCATACGGAACCGGCCACGTAGGCGGTGCCCAGTACACGACCGTCAGTGGACAGGTGAACATCGCACACGCTCCGCCTATGGTAAGCTCCGTTGAGAAGCGTCCAAGTTGCCGCTCACCTTAGATGTCGGTGTTTTTTAGTTGCTTGTTATAAATATACATGCGCGCCTCGAGGTGTAAAGAGAAAAAATGCTCTGCCGAGATTGCTCTCGGTCCGACGTAGTCGCGACTACGTTGACTGCGACGCGGCGTGAACCGACTCATTGATTCATGTACATGTCACTCGCATACACGCGTACTTGGCACGGTATCGCACTCTTTGAATGAATGTCTAAGTTCTCACTGAGAATAAAACCAAAAAAAAAAAAAAGAGAATCAATTGTATTGCACGTTAGAGCGAGAGACTCCAAGGGACTAATAGACGGTTAAATTTATTTTCATGCTAGGCGCCTTCTATTGCGGACACAGAGTAGGTACACTACGATAACATTTTCAGTTATCCTTTTTATTCCTCGGTTGACGAATATCTTCTCCGTTATTATACTTACTCACGGTTGAGTTCGTTTGCTACTCACGTTCGTCTATCGACTTATGCCTGCGTTACGGTACAGCGCTTACTGCTGGACAGGGAAAAAACAGATACAGGGTTGGAAAGTTACTCTTTAAAAGCGACTCGTTACCGTTACCATTACCGTAGCAAATTACGAGTCGTTACATTTTTTGTTATTCTTTTCACCAAGTTTTTGAGACCCTTTTTCGCGACTCGCTGCTGCCCGTCCTGCACATATACTCTATATATGCAAAGTAACAGAGAGAAATAACATTTGTATTCGTTAGCGTAACCCACAAAATGTGATAACCGTTATCATCACTAATGAGAACAAATAATATCGTTATTCAATTATTACCGGAAAAAAGTAACGGTAACAGTATTGTAAGTAAAGTGTTGCTTCCCAAACCTGAAAAAGATGTCTGTATCGTCGCACGTTTGCAGTTCGATTTGCTTTCCCGCGAACGGAACAGTCGTCCGCGCTCCATTCGGTCGATCGGTAAACTCGATATTGCCGCAACTATTGGTTGCAGTTTACAGCTTTATCATGTATACGCGCATATACTCTTGTTTACTCTTCGTTTATTCTCGTTAAACGTCCATGAGCTAAACTTACATTCTCGTTTGCGTGGAGAGGATATCGTATTCTGTGCGTCATTCAATCGCGTTTGCAATCGGCTTTCTTTCTGTCTCTCTCTCTTTCTCTCTCTCTCTCTCTCTCTCTCTCTCTCTCTTTGTCTCTCCTTCTCTCCTCTGTAACACACGATTGTTCATGAACCAGGTCCAACAAACCAAAGTGACATCCGTCCTGTCTGAACCGCAACGTGCCTTACTGTCAACCATCACCGCTGGTCACGAGGTGATCCACATCGCAGAGACCGAGCTCTCTACGAAGGCCCAGAGACCTCAGCTCGGCACCGATCCGGCGTCCTTAAGATGGATCGAACAGACAATCGATACCCACAAGCAAAACGTGGGCTCGCAGATTGCGGCGATGAACGCTGCGACTGCTCAAGTGGTCACGCTGACCTCGGGACCAGCAGACAACGTGGACCACACCGCTGTGGGCGCCGCGATCACTACGATAGCCACGAACCTACCAGAGATGACCAAGGGCGTAAGAATGATAGCCGCCCTCATGGACGACGAGTCGTCTGGCGAACGATTGTTGGACGCCGCCAGGAAGCTCTGTACGGCGTTCTCGGATCTACTGAAAGCCACAGAACCGGAAACCAAAGAGGTGAGTGATCGATCGGCGCAGTTGAGTGAGGACACGATCGTGTGTATACTCTTGTTTACTCTGTGTGTGTACACGTACGGTAGAATCCACGATCGTTAAGTCACCTGTTGTCTCTTAAAGTCTCCTCTTTCTCCGCAGCCTTTCTACATTACATCTACACTCTACGGACAATATGTAAGCACTAATATCTCAGCTTTGTAGCATAAACTCACAAATTAGACCTGCTTTCACAGGTGCATTGTTCGTTTCTTTTTCCTTTAGAAACACTTCATCTTGCGGGTGCAACATTTGCACTTGAATTCCTAGAGAATTTATTTCATGAGACAACTTAAGCAGTGATGGCATAGTATGTCGAGGCAGGATAAACTTCTAAAAGATGTCTTACAGATGTCTGAAGAACGTCTAAAAAATAGGACATCTGTTGGGTGCCTTTAAGATATCTTTTAGAAATTTATGCTATCTGAAATATTGCATTCGATACATCATTCCAAAGGCATAGCCAGAAAAAAGTTTCGGGGAGGCCTGTACTTTTTATTTTTGACGAGCAAAGAAAAGATCATTCGAAAAAATTTTTCTCGCACTTAGCGTAACTCAGAAAATTAATTTCGAGGGGGGGGGGCTGCAGCCTCCTCAGCCCCCCTGGCTACGCCACTGCATCATTCATTATTGAAAAGTTATTTTATACAGGCTGAGTGATCTATTCTAATTGGTCAAGAGTATCCACGAAAATATTTGACGTAAATTATATAGATCCTTTTTTTGAAAGAAAAGAAAATCGTTTTTAAAAAGCGATTATAGAGAATAAATTAAGTTTCATTTTGAATATCATATATGTGTACGGACGTAAAAACGAACAAACTGAAACAATTTTAGAAGAGATAAATGTTTCAAAAGAAATGACTATAACAATCATATCTAAGTAGGCTTGATTCGAGTATACGTGTTTAGATCAGTAAGCCTATGCTTAAAAATATTTTTACGATTTGACGTTGCAATTTCTTTAAACATTTTTATTGACTTGATGACATATTAATGATGTCTCCGATATCATTGATACATTTTTAACAATTATTTGATGTCATTAATACGTCATAACGTTTATTGGATCTTCACACTTTGCATATCACACTTTGCATATTGAGCACGTTATAAGTAGTTAATCGTTTGCATTCTAGCCGCGGCAGAATCTACTGAATGCGGCGTCGCGCGTCGGGGAGGCTTCGCACCAAGTGTTAACGACTATTGGCGAAGAGGACGACTCGAATCGCGAGCTGCAAGATATGTTACTGGCACTTGCAAAGGCCGTGGCAAACACCACTGCGGCACTCGTGCTGAAAGCGAAGAATATAGCGGCCACCTGCGAAGATTCAGCCACGCAGAACAAAGTGATATCAGCCGCGACACAATGTGCGTTAGCCACGTCGCAGCTGGTGGCTTGCGCAAAAGTGGTAGCACCGACCATGCACTCGCCCGCTTGTCAGACCCAGCTGATGAACGCTGTTCGCGAAGTGACCAGAGCCGTCGAAAGTTTGGTCCAAGTCTGCAACGAGACCTGCAGCGACGAGAACCTGTTGAAGGAATTAAGCGTCGCCGCCAGCGAGGTCAGCCGCATTCTCAACGACCTTCTCAACCACATCAAGACGGCCACCAGAGGCGAACGTGCCAAAGAATCCATTCAAGAGGGAGCAGTGGAAACCATTTTAGTGGCGACGGACAAACTGTTCGCGAGTACTGGCGACGCCGGCGAAATGGTACGCCAGGCAAGAGTGCTTGGTCAAGCCACCGCACAACTGATTCAAAGTATCAAAGGTGAAGCCGAGAAGCAAACGGATTCAGAACAACAGCAACGTCTGTTAGCCGCTGCAAAGCTACTAGCTGACGCTACTGCTAAGATGGTAGAGGCAGCACGACAATGCGCCAGTTGTCCGCACGACGCCAAGATACAGGATCGACTGCGCCAAGCAGCGGAGGAGCTACGAGCGGCAACTACCGCGGCAGCGACACCAGCATTACGCAGGAAACTCATCACTCGGCTGGAAGCGTGCGCGAAACAGGCGGCCGCGACGGCTACACAGTGTATCGCAGCGTCCTCGGGCGTTGCGCATCACAACACCAATCCGGCTAGCCAGGAAGAACTCAACATGGAGTGTCGCATGATGGCTCAGCACATTCCACACCTAGTATCCGGCGTCAAAGGGACACAAGCACTACCTGATGTTCCCACTGCACAGTTGAATCTGATAAACGCTTCTGAGCAATTTTTGCAGCCAGGTACCGCTGTAGTAAAGGCAACTAGGGCTGTTTTACCGACAGTGACTGATCAGGCGTCCGCTATGCAACTGAACGATTCTTCACAACAGTTGGGCTCCTCATTGGCAGATCTAAGATCCGCGGTTACACGCGCCAGGGAGGCCTGCGGCGGATTGGAACTCGACGCAGCGGAGGAGTTGATTAATAGCTTGAAGGATGAACTGGGTGAGTTTTATCGTGCCGTCGAAGCCGCTTCCTTGCGACCACTGCCCGAAGAGACTACCGAGTCTACCGCGCTGCGTCTTGGCGCCACGTCGAAGAACGTCGGATTCGCTATGGCGCAGCTGCTATCTGCCGCCAAGCAAGGCAACGAGAATTACACTGGGAGTGCTGCCAGGGAAACGGCAACGGCATTGAAGGACCTCACTTACGCCGTTCGTGGCGTAGCAGCCACGTCCGATCAACCAGAGACACAAAAGAAGGTGCTGATGACAGCAGATGACGTGATTATGCGATCTTTATGTCTGGTCAAGGAGGCGCGACGCGTGCTCAAGAATCCAGAAAATCCTGAAAACGAGGCCAACTTGGCCGCCGTTGCCAAGGATGTGTCTAATTCATTAAATAAATGCGTCTCCTGTCTACCTGGCCAAAGAGACGTGGACGAGGCCATACGTAACATAGATGATATGACTCAGGTGCTCAGCATGAATGAGTTCCCACACACGAGCAAGAGTTATGGGTAAGTGACCTGGACATGACTGCTTCCTTTGAACAGTTGCGAGCTATAAGAAAGGAAAAAGCGAAAGAGTAGATTTTTTTAGAATTTTTATTATTTTCTAAACAGTTCTTGTTGCAATCGATTATTAATTATCTCGTTCGTTTACGTGCTTGGTTCCAATAATTTTATTAAAAAAAATTTTCATTTTTAATACAAATTAATATAAATTAATTTCCTTTTTAATATAAATTAATTATTTAACAAATTAATTCATTTTTATATAAATTTCATGCTATTACGCGTGTGATTCTTTTTCTATTGCTTCTTTTCCCATAAATATATAAAAGTAACTTTTAGGTAATTTTTTTGGTACGTGTGTGTATGGCTAATTTTTTTAGTATGTGTGTTTGGTGTGTGTTTTGATATATATGTAACCTGGTTTTCCTACTTTTCGTTCGTACTTATTCTAGTTTTCCTTTTTATTTTTTTAATTATATCTCTCACGTGCTTTCTTATCGCTCCTTGAACTATATTCGTGTTGGAAATAATTGGCATACGGTAGATACATACAATTTCAGTATTGTACACCTCGCACGCTTTTACTATTTCACAGGCAACTGCAAAGTGACCTCAACAACGCAGCTGCCAGTTTGAACGATGCGTCCTCGAACATAGCGTCGTCGGTGCGCTCGCCCGTGCTACTCGCCAACTCATCAAAACAATTCACCAATGCCTTTGGGGATTTACTGGGCGTGGGTATGGAGATGGCAGGACAAACGACGATCGAGACGCGTAGCCAGGTGGTGGTATCGTTGAAGAATGTCAGCATGACGTCCAGTAAGCTTCTCGTCACGGCAAAATCAGTCGCAGCAGACCCTACTGCTCCAAACGCCAAGAATCAGTTGTCGGCGGCGGCGCGTGCCGTCACCGACTCCATCAACTACTTGGTGGATGTGTGCACGTCGGCGGCACCCGGCCAGAACGAATGCGATAACGCCATCAGAAACATTCAGTCTATGCGATCGTTGTTGGATAATCCGAACGAGCCGATCTCCGATGCCTCGTACTTCGAGTGCCTGGAGACCGTGATGGAGAAGAGCAAGAGCTTAGGCGACGGCATGACTGGCATCGCGAATCATGCGAAGAAATCAGAGCATGAGCAATTTTCAGTCGCTGTCAGAGGGGTTTCCTCGTCGATCTGTGGCCTGATAGAAGCCGCGGCTCAAGCAGCCTACTTGGCCGGAGTGAGCGATCCCACATCCGTGGCAGGTAAACCAGGTCTGGTAGACCAAGCCCAATTTTTCCGAGCGGCGCAGGCTATCCACACTGGCTGTCAGAGCCTGGGTAATCCGACGAGCACGCAGCAACAGGTTCTTTCAGCTGCGACTATGATTGCCAAACACACCAGTGCCCTCTGCAACGCTTGCAGAGTCGCTTCAAGCAAGACCAGCAATCCGGTGGCCAAACGACACTTTGTCCAATCCGCCAAGGACGTCGCAAATTCGACGGCGTGTCTCGTGAAGGAGATCAAGGCACTCGATCAGAATTACTCCGACATTAATCGTGAGAAATGCGCGGAAGCGACGAAGCCACTGCTGGAAGCGGTCGACAATCTCTGCACTTTCGCGAGTTCTCCGGAATTTGCGAGTCAACCAGCCAAAATATCCATCGCAGCGAAAGCGGCACAGGAACCGATCACGAGCGCCGGTAAGTCCATCATCGACGGCTCGTGCGCCATGGTGCTAGCGGCTAAGAGTTTAGCGGTCAGCCCGAAAGACCCGCCGACTTGGCAGTTGCTGGCGAATCATAGCAAGAGCGTGAGTGACTCGATTAAGTCACTGGTGGCGTCGATACGCGACAAAGCTCCTGGTCAGAAGGAGTGCGATGCTGCCATCGAGAAACTGGCGGCGCGCATCCGCGAGCTGGACGCCGCGTCCTTGAGCGCCGTTTCACAGGCGTTGGTGCCGCGTCGCGAGAACACCATGCAAGGTTTCACAGATCAGATGGAAAGCAGCGCTAGCGAATTGCGCGAGAAGCTGGAACCGTTGCGTACCGCTGCGAAATATGAAGCAGAGAACGTGGGACACGCCGTCAATCAAATTGCGCTCTACTCGGAACCACTTGTCTCCGGCGCCATCGGTGCCGCGTCCAACATGGTGCATTCAAAGCAGCAGATGGTGCTCTTAGACCAGACGAAGACTGTGGCCGAGTCTGCCTTGCAGTTAATCTACGTCACCAAGGAGTCTGCCGGGAACCCGAAGGCTATCGCGCTGCACTCCGAGGTAGACGAGACCGTCGAGTCCACCAAGGATGCACTTCAGGAATTGCAGAACACACTAGAGACTATATCGACGTCGCACGGCATCGTCACTGGTCTCATCGATACGATTTCGCGCGCGATGGTCCGATTGGAGGACCATCGAATGTCCACTATTGACACCGTGGATTCATACGTTGACTATCAGACAAGGATGGTCGAAGCCGCGAAGGAGATTGCTCGATTGGCACAAGAAATGGTGAGCTTGAATAAGGCTGTAATCGTAATTAGAAAAATTCTCTTTTAAAAGTAACTCGTGTTACTGCTACTGTTATTCATTTAAAAAAATAGTTCCTTACTGTTATCCTAATTCGAATAACTACTGTTATCTTTATCCACTGAAAACTTGTTACTAATGAAGAAAAATAATACCATTTACAAAACCGTTACTAAAAGGATGTAACTTGTAACAGTAATGACCTTATAAGTAACATCTTACTTCTTAAATTTGCATTTACTTTCGTTGCTCTTTTTAGTTAAAACTTATTTATACATGTATGATTATGCTATATAATTATATTTATAAATGTATAAAAAGGTATATATACATTGCTTAGTATTATTCTGTTTCTGCTTATAGTCAACCAAGTCAAGCACCGACGTGGCTAGGCTGGGTCCACTAGCAGTCGACATATCCCACAAGTACACTCAGCTTGCCCGCGACACCTCCGGAGCGTCCGCGGCGGCCTCGAACGCTGACGTATCGGCGCGGCTACGCACGGGCGTTCAGGAACTCGGTCGTGCCTGTGCCGACATAGTACGCGCTGCTGGCATTTGTCAGATGTCACCCGGTGACGTGTACGCACAACGCGAAGTCGCCGAGCACAGCAAGATCGTGACAGAGAAGGTGTCGCAGGTATTGGCTGCCCTGCAAGCTGGCTCGCGCGGTACCCAAGCGTGCATTAACGCAGCCAGCACCGTTTCCGGAATCATCGGCGACCTCGACACCACCATCATGTTCGCCACTGCCGGCACGTTGCACGCTGAAAACGAAGGTGACACGTTCGCCGATCACCGTGAAAACATACTGAAGACCGCCAAAGCCTTGGTGGAGGACACGAAGACCTTGGTCGCGGGCGCCGCGTCGTCGCAGGAACAGTTAGCCGTGGCGGCGCAGAACGCGGTCTCCACTATCGTCCAATTGGCCGAGGTCGTCAAGTACGGTGCGGCTAGTCTAGGCAGTCAGAACCCGGAAGCGCAGGTGATGCTGATCAATGCCGTGAAGGACGTCGCTTCCGCACTGGGCGATCTCATACACGCCACCAAGGCTGCCAGCGGCAAACCCATCAACGATCCCAGCATGGCGCACCTTAAGGATTCCGCTAAGGTAACTTCGCTCGTGCGAGCGTTTTTTCGCTTTGCTCACACGTGGTCGTCGTTAATGTGTACATGCATATATACATACGTACACACATACATATATATAACACACATACATACATGTATATTCTAACAACGAGAATGAAGCGGATTACCTGCGCTTACGGTGTCGCTTAAGAGATTAACCCGGCCGAGAGGCCGACGCTTGATTGGAAGAAGCCCGTTGTTTACGGCGATGCGACGGCGCCGTCGCTGTCGCCAGACGGATCGTTATTGCGAGTACGTGGAATAATATCGGCCTGGGTGACATTAACTCCCGCCGGTGGCCAGCCGAATGATTCGGCAACCAGCCGAAATAACCGTAAAATCGAAAGCCGATGAAACATCCCGCGAATACGGATGAGGCACCCCGACGAGTGGATTCCCGCTAGGTCCTAACAAATACCCGACGATCGATTAACGCACCGCACTCCAATAATGTCGTTTCAGACGTAACCGTAGAAAATCCACCTGCATCCTCCTCGGAGGCGTTTGTTTCGAGTGAATTTCAATCTAAGCACCCGTGAAAACTAATGAAATTTGGTTGTTTGGTGTTCCACGCCCCTAATCGATTAACCGATCGAGTTTTAATCGAGTAGGTCTGTTCTTTGTAGCTACACTATTGGTGCAGTAAGTTAGAGTGAGAGACAAGTATATCTCTTCTACAACTTATTGCACCAGCTCAGCAGCACAACTACAAAGAACAGACTTCGTGTGTCGTTCCAGACGTAACCGTAGAGTGCATAATCTCAGAGACAGTTGTCGTTTTGGTTTCTTTTTTTTGGGGTGGACTTTAATTGACACATTCTCATGAGCGTCCTCGTTATCGTTCTCACCTCTAACCGATCTTGCGTTCTCGCTCTACTAAAATCTCGCCGGACGTCCGTCACGCGGAATGTTGACGATCGATTAACCGTCATTCTCGAGGCCATCACGCGAGAGCCACGGAAGCAAGGCCGCAAAGGCCTGTCATTTTATATCCGCCGTCAACGTTGCGGACCGAAATGCAAGAGAGAGACACCATTAAAGTCCACCTTGAACGCTTCTTGTTCGGCTTCGTATCTTCTATGTGTGTGAAGTACTACTTAGAACAGCGGATGATGATGTGTTTCTTCTTCTTCTTTTATTCCTTTCTCTTTCTCTCTTTCATCCAGCGGAAGGCACTTTTGTAGAAGGTGTTGTTTGTTTAACGCGATGCGCAAGACTCCGCCTTTGTTGTACACTGCTTTCTCACATATGTCGATGTGTCGAGAGATTCGCGAGATAGCGGCAGTGTATTACTGCTATTACTTATTGATATTACTACTACTACTATTATTGCTACTACCACTTGTGTATGATGAATGTGTCGACAATGCGCGGTGGACTTTAATATGAGTCTCATTGACGATTTTGGTCTGGCCGATTCCGGATAGGTCTTAGAGCAACAGCTGCAGCAGCAGTTCGTGCCTCTGAGCGACGTCGGCGGCTCGGAATCGGAATGGTTCGTGTCCGATCAAGAGGAGGAGCTAATCCGCCTGCTCTCCACTTCTGAGAGCTCTCAACCGCTCCAACGGACGTCCGACTTACTGTTGCTCATGTAGCCAGATTTTTTCCGTTGCCTCCTCCGTCGCTGCGTTTTCTATCTTTACGAGGCTGTCAATCCTCGTCATAGAGTCGTACGAAATAATTACATAACGAGAACTGCATCGATTAGTCGCGAAGTAAACGACTACTTGTCTTCATGTGGCTTATTCCTTTTAGCTGAACTATTGCTGTACTGGATTCTTGTCGAGCTTTGTTGCTTTACTCTGACGCTATATGCTTGTTACACTCATTACATTTACTTATTATTCACTTGTTTGTTTTCTGAAAGCAAAATATGCAACCTTGTTCAGCTAGAAAGAAAAAGCCTCGAGAATTACGGCTGCGTGCGAAACACAAAATGCGTTTGAACCGTGCAAGAGGCAAGACAGGTCAATCCCGGCGTATCACTGATCAACAACGGACTTTATTTGTCGGGATGTAGATTATGACGTAGTCGCAAAATCATATAAGAACGATTTTTGCATTAATGAGTCACGATTTTCCACAAAATCAGTTCTTGATTACTTTCTTTCTTATTACCCGAAACACATTTCACTTGGGCGAGTCATCAGTTGGGTACGTACGTCCCTGTTTCACGACGATGCGTTTTGCACGAATTAACAGATTTCCAGTTAACAGCTTTTGCATAATACCGTCTTCTCGTCTCTTATCATTGTTAAGAAGGTCGTTTCACGTAGACTCATTCATAATATAACCGGCCCACGCTTCGCGCATTAATCAGTCTCACGTATATTGACAAACTATAATCAGCGATCTTCCACATCTTAGCGTACTTTTACTCCCCCCGTACTTGAAATTTACAGCTAAAACATTAATATATCCGTTTATTTCGTAGCTCTAACCACGTTCGAACTTGCGGGTATATTAACACGTGTCACAAGTGTAAAAAAATACTTTTTCTACACAAGTATAAGAAAAGGAACACGATTGGCTGTCAGCGCAATTAATTTGTTCCTTCTTTCTCTGGCCCAGGTAATGGTGACCAATGTGACGTCACTGCTGAAGACCGTGAAAGCCGTGGAAGACGAGCATACCCGCGGTACCAGGGCGTTAGAATCGACGATCGAGGCGATCGCACAGGAAATCCGTGCCCTCAATAGCCCGGAGACACATAAGAGCAACGTGACGCCGGAGGATCTTGTGCGTTGCACCAAAAGCATCACGATTTCCACGGCAAAGGCGGTCGCCGCCGGGAACAGTTGCAAGCAGGACGACATCATCGCCGCCGCCAACATGGGCAGGAAGTCGATCAGCGACATGTTGACCATCTGCAAGGGCGCGGCCTACAACTGCGCGGAGACCGCCGAGTTGCGCGATCGCACCCTGCAGGCTGGTCATGACGTCGCTATCAATTACCGCGAGCTGCTCCAGGCGATCCTCCAGATCTCGTCCCGACAGGGCGACGCCAAGCACACGTTGCCGGTGATCTCGCGGAAAATCGCCCAAAGCGTGACCGAGCTGGTGGCGGTGGCGGAATTGTTGAAGGGCAACGACTGGGTCGACCCCGACGACCCTACAGTGATCGCAGAGAATGAACTCCTCGGTGCGGCTGCGAGCATCGACGCGGCCGCCAAGAAGCTGGCCAGTCTGAGGCCGAGGAGAAGCATTCAGGTGAGCGTGCGATCACGATCATTTAGAATAATTATATTGTAGACGTTGATTGACGTTTAAAATGGTTTTTAAAGTGAAAATTAAAAATACTTTTTTTCCCAAAAAGATGTCAATATCAGCAATTATTATGAAATTAAATAATTTCAGATTTCTTACGTAAAATAATGGTATTTTTGTGTTGTTATAATTTTATGAAACAATGTATGCGCCGTTTTGATCTCGTAATTTTTTGCCAATTCCTTATATACTTTGTTCCATAATTTCAATAATTATTTTATTTCATAGTTTTGTTTCAAATTATAATCATATGAAAATATAATCGTTTCATTATGTCTGAGAAATCTGCAATTATTTATTACGCAACTCAATAATACAAAACGATAAAATTATGTTATAATTATGTAGAAAGAATATAATCGATTACGAAAGTAAAAAAATTACAGAGAACCGTTCTGCTCTCCGCAAGATATGTTTGATTTTCTTGGTCGTTGTAAATTATCGACCAGGAATCGAACATATTATTGCGGTGGTCAGAGAAGTCAACGTGTAAATATCACAGCGGGTGAGTTTCGGTCTTAAAGATCCCATATTCGCCATTATTCTTGTATATTCGTTATTTTCCTATCGAGTTTTACTCTAAAATACATCCTTTCGCTTCGCAGGAGGCGAACGAGGACATGAACTTCGACGAGATGATATTAGAAGCCGCCAAGTCAATCGCCGCTGCCACTTCAGCCCTAATCAAAGCCGCCAGTGCCGCCCAACGCGAACTGATCGCCACCGGCAAAGTGTCTCGCACACCGTTAACCAGCTCCGACGACGGACAATGGTCCGAAGGTCTGATTTCCGCTGCTAGATTGGTGGCGGCCGCCACTCACAGTCTCGTGGAATCCGCCAACGCTCTCGTTCAAGGAGTAAGCTCCGAGGAAAAGTTGATTTCCAGCGCCAAGCAAGTTGCCAGCAGCACGGCGCAACTGTTGGTTGCTTGCAAAGTCAAGGCAGACCCTGACAGTGAGAGCACAAAGCGCCTGCAGGCTGCCGGAAATGCTGTGAAACGTGCTACCGATAATCTCGTACGCGCTGCGCAACAAGCTATCCAACAAGAGGAGGACCGATCTTTGGTCCTCAATCGCCGCATGGTAGGCGGCATCGCGCAGGAGATCAACGCACGCTCGGAAGTATTGCGAATTGAGCGCGAGCTGGAGGAAGCCCGGGGTAGGCTGACCGCCATCCGTCAAGCCAAATACAAGAACCGACCAGACCTGGCCGACGCGGACGGCGACATCGATCAGAGCGGCTACGAGAGCTACACGACACGATACGAGACCAGGGCGTACGAACCGCCACATGCACAATCGCCGGTACAGGCGATGCATCACACCTTGGACCAGCTGCAGAGCACCACTCAACACATCAGCCATCATCAGTTCGCCGACAGCGACCGGCAGCAGCTGGTCAGTCCGGAGAAGGTGCACTCGACGCAAAGTACCCTCGAGAGAAAGATGAAAGACGCTCAATATCGTACAGCCATTTTAGAGAGCCAGGTCGATTCTTTGGACAGGAAATACAGCGACAGTTATCATGATAGAAGCCCTTACATCGTTACAGAAAGGAAGATCATAACAGACAACTCACCCGGTCAATACAGCTCGATCGAGCGAAAAATCAATCAGGAGAGTTTCACCAGCGCGGAGCGGAAGCACAGCGGGGACATCGCGTACCATCCGCCACCTCAACATATCTCATACTCTCCGAGGTCCCCGACGCGCAGATCCGTTCCGCAGACCTCGCCAGAGCAATACGAGAGGTCTCCACAGGATCAACAGAGTCTGACCGATCGGTTCTCGACCGTCAGTCCGATGAGCACCTTCCGTTCCGAGAAGCAAATAGACACTCAGCGATTCGGCACCGCCGCTATGCCACACCATCAAACCTTCAAGAACGTCGAGAGCAAGGTCGTACCTGGCGGTAGAATTGAAACCATCACCACGAAAGTATACACGTCCACACCCAAAAACACTGGCACCAGCTCCAACTATGAGACTACCGAGGAGACCAAAGAATATTCGACGTCCGGCAACGAATTGTCGACGTTCAAGACCGCCTTCGACAACGATACTCTCGAGGAGCGCACGACAAAGCAGTCGACGTTGCACAAAGTTACGGAGAAGAAGACCGTCACTATGACCATGTCGAGTCGGCAAGAGTCCAACACAAAGACCTTCCGCTTCGAGGACAAGCAGTAAACAGCGGAAGTAAACGACAAGCCCGACATCCGTTCGCGCGCGAACACACGCGATGATAAAAATAGCAATGTTCTTCAGGAACGAAATCTCAATGTTACAGAGTGGCTCGTTTGTCCCTTAATCCGAATGTTCTTTAACACAAAATGCTCGAGTACGTCGAGATGCACTGCGAAATCATTTTGGCGTCGTAATAAATAAAGCGGTAGAGCTATTCCGAATAAGAGATTCCGTTAAATCGGACTTTTCAAAATCCAGATTGAAATGAAAATAACCTAGTTAAAGCTCCATCGGATACGATCACTTTAATTTATAACTAAAGAAGCGAGAAAGACATGCTCAAAATTCTTGAAAGATATGTTGAAATAAAATATGCCCACAAAATCATATGAGATAGTCCAAACACTTTCCTTTTAATTAAAAAATTTACAATTAAAAAATAAAATATTAAAAATAAAAAATTTACAATTTAAATTGATTTACAATCGATAAGAGAGAAAATAACTGACATTGACACGTCGCGTTAATTTTACGATGATTTATCGGTCGATATTTTGTGGATATATCTTTTTATTTCAACGTATTCTGCAAGAATCTTGAGCGTGCATTTTCTCGCTTCTGACGTCATCAATCAAGAACGTCGCGGCGCGTAACCATAAGTCTTAAAATGATTAAGAATAAAATTAACTGAAAAAAACTAATCTAATAATGTTTCACGGGTAATAGTATATTTGTCGATCGTGCTCGCACGATTGCACACGCGAGCAATGTCTGAAAGCTGTCAAAGCCTTGCAGGCTCGACGATGACGAAGCCACGCAGTTTCGGCGCGCTTCAAAACGCGAGCAACGAGAAACTTAGTCGAGGCGGCGAGTTATTCGTAACAATGCGAGATAGAAAGTGCCCTTAGATAGATGTGTAACTCGTGCTTTCGAGATTCGTAGCCTTTTACGAGCGTATATTTATTCATGGATGTTTCGCAAGGCCATGTTTCACGGCGCGCGGCCGTGTTTTCGCTATGACCGATCGATCTTAACGGGATTACTTGTCGCTGCGTGTGTAAAAGCTCGTCGTGGAGTAAGCTTAGCGTATGAAGTAAGAGTAAGAGTAGTTCCAACTTCTTAGTAAGTAGTACTATATAGTTAATCCTTACCGCTCTGTTGGCTCCACTACGGAGACAATCATCATATGTTTCACAGAAGTTCGGAGAGCTAAGGGTTAAATCATACATGTGTCTTTGTCTAAGTTGAGAGAAAAACAAAGACAAATATATAATTTAATTATCAGTTAACTTATTAATAAGTTTGAACGGAAATGAAACCAATTTATTTCATTTATGTGCCTAAATTCTAGCTTTCTTAATTAATATTATCTAATATTAATTTGACAAAAAGACTTTCGGCATAAAGAAGCTGGAGTATAGACATAAGCGAAATAAATAATTTCTATTTTTTACTATCTTGCTCCTTACGCCAAGCTTACTCCACGTGTTGTAGATGTCCACTAACGTTACTTCCGATAACGACTAACTTTACTATTACTACTACTACTACTACTATTATTACTATTACTACTACTACTTCTGTTTGCACAGAGTAAGAGTTTTGTTTTTCTCTTTTTTCTTGTCGTTTGTTTTATTTTTCTTGATTGCTTACCGCGCTTACCTCGAGGGTAACGAGAGATACGTAATCGTGCTTGAGTTTTTAATGTATAGAGTTAATTTACGTTTAAACTTTAAAACGAATGGTCGAGAGAACCACGAATTAACCAGAGAAGCAACATATCATTTAATTTTATTAATTTTCCCAATGTCCCGTTGCCTAACGTGAGCGCGCATGTGCACACACACACGTATGTGCGCGCGTGAGAGGGCCCGGTGACTCACCACCACTTGCTATATTAACATTTTCCGCTTTCTAGATTAACCCCGTCCCCTCTCCCAACTGATGTTTTATCGTGTCTCTATTTATTCCGGGGATTTTCTGCTGTCGCTTTGTGTACTACAGTCGACTGTATATCTATACATCTTCCTCGTCTGTCCTGCCTACTTCTCGACTCGACTCCTATGTTTCTTTCTCTTTGTCAAGCGATCCACAATCTACTATCGTCGACCTCTGTCATAGGCGGTGGCTCGTATTTTCGATGAATTTATTAAAATAAGCTCAAGCGACTGGCCTAGTTGAGGCTCCTGTGAAGGATCGATTAGTGCAATCACTGTACTGTTAGTATCTCGCGAGTAGGTGTAGGCTGTACCGTTGACGGATGACGACCCGCCGTAAGCGCGCGACGGAATCCCCGCGACGGAGAGGGTACGTGCGACGCCACGAGGTCGCGAGCCTCGTGAACGAGATGAAGTGCCTAAGTCCGATGAGCTGCCGCTTCCTCCTTTTCTAACGCGCTCTCGTAGTGATCTTAAGGATTTTCTAATATTTACCAAAAAAGAAGGAATCAAACGCTTTATAATATGATCGTGTGTGACGGTGCGCATATGGACGATGGCGCGTTGCCAGACACGACACGTGGCCAAGCGCGAACGACTGTCTTCTTCCAAAGCAACACACGTGTGCTTGTCTATGTTGTCGTGTGTATTGGTATTTTCTCTTTTTTTTTCTTTTTTCAAAGAGAGCCATATCGTCCATCACGATTTTGTTTGCGGTTCCGCGCAAACCGACAATCGCAGGGTAATTGCTTAATCGTCGGTGATCCGATCTCTTGTGCCGGTTAATTTTATCGCTGTTGATCGCTGTCTCTCCCTTGTATGGCCTGCGATTGTACAGTCAAGGAACGATCATTCTTTTGACTATCTTGGATTTACTCGAGAGTTGAGCAGACGCGAAGAAAAATTCAGTATAAATGGCGAATGTTGCGGTCGGTTTGCGCGGATCTTCGTGTGTCCTCGAAGGAGCGTGCCATGACAAATGTATCGCGAAAGATAATGAGATATATATATAGAGGTGTATACATAGATTATATATACATATATTATATATTATACAAGAAGTTTACGTATACAAAATAGCGGTATTTACACAGATACAATAACGTTTCGCATTGTTTTAACAATTTATATTATTATACATACAGAATATTTTTACCAGTTGTTCTCTAAATAATTCTCTATATTTTGTGTCTTAAGCGCCATGCAGATCTAATTTTCGCGGAATGTTACGAGCTGCGAACGTTAATGTCTCGCAGTTGCGTCGCTTTTCTTACTTATTACTATTAATCTTGATTACTAAAAATATATTGTTATTATTATTTGTATTATTAATCGATTTTTATCACCATCACTATATTGTCAATCCAAATGTTTATACTCGTATCGGCACGTAACCAGATAATAAAGAGTTTCTAACATTTTGGTGATGTATGTATGTATGTATGTGTGTGTGTGTGTGTTAAAATGTATATGTATACGCTCTTCTTGTTTCGGAACTAGATACTCTACACTAGATACTTAACGCAATGTTTAAAAAATAAGGCAGCAACGCGTTTTGCCGTTTGTTCTTTGCACAATTCTCTTCCGTGGAAGATTTTAATTCGAGACACACGCTGGTTATCTTCAGTTTTGACATGAGAGATTACAAACCTGTACGCATTATTTACGAAAACAATCACGCACTTATAAAATTCATTATAGACCTATACAGTTGATACTAGTATCGATACATGTTTGAGACAAAAATTACATGTCATATATATATATATATATATATATATATATTCTAAGCGCTCAGTTACATTTAGCAATACTTATTATAGTTATTTGTCTTTGCTAATTCTTGGTGCCAATGTTTTTTCCACGAATCTCGGTAAGACGAAAGCCGCTTGGTGTATCTTATCGTTGTAATACTTCAACTCCATGCGATCAAGTTCTTCCTCGCTGAACACCCGCAATGGTTGCGAGAGATTTGCTCGCTGAAAGGAAGAGTCGCGTTTCCATTAAAGTCACGATCAAAATCAATTGAAAAATACGATCTCGCGACTACCGTAAAATATGAATTGGATTAGTAATTCGAAAATTAAACTCTTTAATTAGACTCTTTAAGACCGAATTATGCATGAGGATGTACTGAAATGTAAGAAGAGTTTTATTATCGTTAAATATTACGTCTGATACTAACGCTATTCAATGCTCCCATGATGAAGCCGATTTGACCCGAGGGATACGTTGGTACCGCCGTGATCGCATATGCCGTGACGGGGAACGCAACTTTGCAGTGTTCATATGTTCTCTTCACTTGCGGCAAGCTCTCCCACACCGTGGTGGCCTGACTAGCGACAATTCCGTCAGGTTTCAACGCAGCCGCCAGTAATTCGTAATACGATTTTTCGAAGAGACATACAGCAGGACCTGAGCAAAACATTAACACTGTCAATACTATCTACGACACATTTCTTTGGAGATTTGCACATTGCTGTGTGTACACCTAAGGAGTATTTTATAACAAATATTACTATAAAATTTTGTAACTGAGAAACATATAAACATTCTATATTAATTTATTATTCTCTTGCTCTCTCTCTTCATATGTGCTTCATATATATATATATGTATATTTTTTTAAGATTTTAAGGAATATTTTATATTTATATGCATATCTTTTATATATAATATTTAATTATATATATTTTATTAACTGGATTTTATTCTCTACTATTAAAAAATTTTCTATAGCAAAATAAACTTTATTAATAGTCTATTTTTACACTATTAGTAAGATTAATAAAATATAGTAAAATTGAAAAAAATTTTTTATGAAAAAATGTATAAGATAATCACTTTATTACTTACCCACAGGATCGGAACTGTCAGTAATAATAACATCAAATTCTCCGGTATGCCGCCTCAAAAATTCGAAACCATCACCAACGATAACGTTTACCTTAGGATTTTGTAAACTGGAGCTTAAGTGAAGCAGATATTGTTTGGATATTTCAATAACTCGACCGTCAATTTCCACCAGCGTAACGTGTTCTACATCCGGATGTTTTAAAACTTCTCGAACAATTCCACCGTCGCCACCGCCAATTACCAGGACCTGTTACCAGGCAGAAACTGTAAACGATCTATTTTTCTATAAAAGAACTTTTATTGATTTCCCACGAAATTTATTTGTGCAAAGTGAACTTTCGTAAAGTTTTAATGTTCGATATTAACAACTTTGCGGTCAATATTTTTGCTGAAGATATTTTAGCTTAAAGCCAAAAACCACAAAATTCTGAGATTAAAAGAAAGAAATTGAAAATTTTATTTTTACTGTTGTAATAATTTGAATCATTTATTATTTGAAATTACGATAAATAATAATTAACAATCAAACAATTATTGGATAAAAAATCACAAAGACGTATCCTACCATATTATCTTAACTTTCGGCTTTTTAGCTATGAAAGGACAAATAAAAAACCGCAAGAAAATATGCTAATAATTATATATATCGATGTGATCCTTAAATGTCAAGGAGAGCTAAATAAATAAACTTGGCGATTGTATTGTAATAATTTAAGAAATAATAGGATTTCCTTGATCGAGGATCCTTAAATATAAATTTCGTTAATATTTCATTAATATTCCATTAATATTCCAATCTCTAACTAACGCAGCATTTTTTAAATGTTTTTACGTGTTCATGTTAAGAAACCGATCGAATCATCAAGAGGTTGAGCCGCATAAGAATTTCTAATTACTCGCCGCGGCTATTTTGATTTATGACGTCAGAAGCGAGAAAAAGGAAGTAGGTGGCAAAATAATGAGGAAATACAAATTAAAGAGCAAGGTTGCATGTAACGTTAATCTTACAATTATTTATTTATTATTAGAAAAAGTGTTCAAAATATTTTAGAAATATATTAATCGATATATTAGTAGATATATTTAGAGATATATTAGTCGATTGCGAATGTTTTTTTAGATGTTTAGATATATATTTTTTTTTAGTTTGACTTTTGCACATACTTTTCAGGAATTTTGGATATGCATTTTCATGCTTCTGACGTCATTGATCAAGAATTCCATAACGAGTAGTCAGGAGCTTTAACCCATACAGCACAAATCTTCAAAGAACATTCTAAGGACATTCATACATTCTAAGAACATCCTAGAACATTCTCTGAAGATTTTGTGCTGTCTGGGAATATTCAAATTATTATTATTATCATTATTATTATTATAACATATAAATTAGTGTACTCACCTTCGCAGGTTTGGGGTGAGAGCAGAGGGGCAAGAACGATAGCATCTCATGATAGGAAAATTCGTCTTTCTCCGTACATTGGATAATATCGTCGAGCATAAGAGCGCGTCCGTGTGATTTTCTGCAAGTATCTTTCATATATTCTCTCTCTTAATAGATCTGTTTTCTCGCAGAGTGCGATTATACACGTTATATATGTGACTTTGTACTTAAATATGCTTCTTTTTTTACTTAGACTCGTACAATGTTATGTAACTGTTTAGTTACAAAAGTTATCAAACTTTATGATAAAAACCATTTGACGCGATTGAAACACTCACGTTTTGACGACTAAGATCTTTTGGAACTGTGTTTGTTCCTCATGGAGGATCTCCTCTACTTTTAGCGATAGTGCGACACCGGGCCAGAAATCATTGAGTTCGCTGAACCAGCTTTCCTTCAAGGTGTTCATGTTGCTTGAATGCGTTTACTCGTCCCTCGAAGTGCGCGTTGCTAGAGAACACAAGAGTAAAATCAAAGCTGATATAGCACGCATGGCGATCGGACTAAAGCGCACGTTATCGTGCAGACAACGTGTTTGCACTTGAAAAACTGTCTCGCAGCCAACGTGAGAGATAACTTTACGCCCTGTAAGCACTCGCATACATTAAGAGGCACAGTAATCAATGCTTACTATAAGGTGCCGCGGCCCAAAAGATAAGATAAATACATAATACGTGTGTGTACAATATATGCAATATATGCAAATAAGCCTTAAAAGTTGACGAGATGTTGATAAATTAATTCTTTTCGCGGGAAAGCGTAGAAAAACGAATCTTTCTTTGTAATTTCATGACGATTTTATAAAGAATTAAAAATTAATAATTGTAATAAATGATTATCATTATTAGTGAAATAAATGATGAATAACATGTGGATTGAATAAATGATGAATTAAAAATAAATAATGATAAATACAATACAGAGCGTATACCCTGACTTGTATAATATATAATATACAAATATTTCCAAGTTCCAGATAAGGATGAGGAATTCTCCTTAGGACTCAAATAGTCATGATATAGCATTATTTAACATTAGATAACGATTTTCAAGATAAAATTCCGACAAACGAATTCTTATACGCATTATTTAACATTAGATAACGATTTTCAAGATAAAATTCCAACAAACGAATTCTTATACGCTTAACACTGACGTGAGTTTATCGCGTTTGACGCAGCTTTAACAGCATCAAACGGGTCCTTGATAAAATTAATCTTTCGAGTGATTAACTAGTGCCATGCCACATTTAAGATCATCGTATAAAACACGAATTATCGCGAAATACCGCGCTATTTTGGTAATCGTGTAAGAGCAAGTGATCTGCCCGCTGCGTTTCCTATATAACTGTATTCATTTTCGCCGGTGGAAATTAATACGAAAACACGTAGACGTCGTCCAAAACGAATTATGCTGTGAACGATCACGTGGCGAAAGGTACACTCGCAGTCGGAAAGATTGTCTGATTTTTTTTTCGTAAGTTTCGGAACCTATCTGTCTTGTCCAATGAGAAAGCTCTTTTAATGGAAAATAAATTCTCCCATTGAACAAAAAAGATACATAAACTTACAAAGAAAAAACCAGACAAACTTTTCGATTGCGAGTATACACACAATTCATAACACTCACATATACAGAAGAAGAAGAGAGACAGAGAGAGAGAGAGAGAGAGAGAGACTCATGCAGATAAAATGATATCTCGAATATATCGAATATCACCGAGTTTAAGTCATAAGAACCGACAATTCTATTTTATAATTGAAAATACATTTAGTTGTGCGACCGTCATGCGTTTAAAGATATCGTAATATCTCTAGAATATCCTCATAATATATTTTGAACATTTCTGCTGTGTGAATAATAACGCGTTCTCATCCGCGTTCACTTTCTTTAAGAGATTTTTTTATTAATAAATCGTGTTTTCACTATGCAATAAAACATTCACAGTGCTTGTAACTCGAGCTTGGATTATTCGCGAGTTCTTCTTTCGTTTATAATAACAAAATATTTATGATTTATCGATTTCAAACGATCGAATTGAGCGTTCGAGACACATAGTTTTCTTGCACATGAAAATCTTTAAATTCTCATAAACACATGAGTCGTTCGCGAATCCCCCCAAAACAGCATACCCGATGAAAAATTTTTCATGCAAAATTATGTATGAAATTTGTCCATACATAATTATGTATAATTACATATAAATCTATGCGTAATTATGTAAAATTATATATGAATTTATATATATAATTATACGTAATTATATATATAATTATACGTAATTATATATATAATTATACGTAATTATATATATAATTATACGTAATTATATATATAATTATACGTAATTATATATATAATTATACGTAATTATATATATAATTATACGTAATTATGTATAATTACATATAAATCTATGCGTAATTATGTAAAATTATATATGAATTTATATATATAATTATACGTAATTATATATATAATTATATAATATATATAATTATATAATTATATAATTATATTATATATATAATTATACGTAATTATGTATAATTACATATATAAATAGAATGTATGAACATGAATGGAAAAATTTGATACATAATAATATATAATTATGTATAATTATATATAATTTTATATAATTTTATATAATTATATATGAAAAATTTTTCATTGGGTAAATATCTAAAATATGTTTTAGAAACATCTTAAAGATGAAACTTAAAACAAGTAGAATATCTTTCAGATGTCTTTAAGATGTCTGTCAAATATTTCTGTTGTAAAGGTCTTCAGATCAGGATGAAAAAAACACTGCTTCCCAAAAATGATTTACGTACTTCCAAAGGTGAAACTATGAAAACGAACTGTTTACCTGCTATGACGGCCTTCAGGACAGCTCGCTCGCCTGATCGTGGTTCAGCTTCGGCTAAACTGAAGATCCAGCAGGCAGTTAGCTCGGTCCGATGACTAATCCGAAATTTCGAATGGAGCTTGATCGTGGCGACACGCAACGCGCGCGACGACCACATAAGGGCGATCAGATAACGAACGGACGTTTGAACTTTGCTCGTGTGTTTCTGAATATACGATATAATCAAGATAGCTCATATCTCTCTCTCTCTCTCTCTCTTCTCAGTACTGGTTCCCGGAGCCCTTACGGGTTAGTTCCTAAACACCATTTTCCGCAAGATAGCTCATATCCCTACAGAGGGAGTCATCAAAATCGCCCTCGAGATCAATCGAGTTCATCGAGTTGCTTTTGCTCGTACGAATCGATTCATCTCGATCGTCACGATTGATATCGATCATGAATCTTCTCGTCTGGCGTAAACTCGTGAAAAGTGAAGATTTCCGAACATGAGAACATTCATAAACGTTCACTTTTCATAAGTTCACATTATAGGAAAAGATTCATGATCGACCTTCAGTCGCCAGTTGAGATAAATCGAACTCGAACTTAAATTTGAAGTCGATCTAGGAAGTGCGAATCGATGCGCAGTCGACACTCAGATAGCACAGAGAATTCGAAAAGAATTCAGTCATATATCATCAATTCTGAATTCATTTTCAGATGCAAAAAGAATTTTTTTAATTGAACTGAACTTTGAAGTATTCTTTTTGCATCTGAAAGAACCATAATATTCGGTAACAGTTAAGTGCTCTTGCAAGTTCATTTCTTTATAAACAATAATCTTACAATACCTTCTCCAGTAAGAAAAATCGAGGAGTCATTTCTTCTCACTCCTCTTCAATCTTCCGTCTTCAACGACCCAAACAAGCCGACGACTTTATTGAACAGCAACGACATGAATAAGCATTGCAACGAACGAATCAACTTCGTAAAAATATGTAAAGAGAAATTTGACAGGAGCGAATTTCCAGGAGATTTCGAGCAATGGACGGTCGTCGAACAGCGACACGACCACTTGATAAACAATGTCGAAAAATACTCCTCGAATATATCCGAATCTCTTATAGCGTTTTTCATCGGCAGAATTGGTGCGCACTGAGTGCGCACTAAGACTTGTTCACAGTATGTTATTATATTGAAAGATTGTCTTAAATAAATTCTCAAATATTTTTAACCAGTAATATAATATGTATAACATCCGTACGAATCATTTTATAACCTAAAATATTTTTAAATATGTATTAAGACACGATCTTAAATATAAAAATGTATTGTAAACAAGCCTTAGCACTCAGTGCGCACCAGTTCTGTCAATGAAAAATGCTATTAGATATATGCTTCCCGCAATCTTTAAAGACGGAGATTGCGGCCGATCCATGAGTAAGAGACCGAAATGGCTCGATATGGATAAATTCCGTCGTGGGCAGGAATTCGCTGGCATTTATATAACTCACGTATTGTCTCTATGTGAACCTTCTCCGACGGGCTGAAAGTTCTAATTATGAGCGAGAAATCCAACACGCTGTATCGCGTCTTTCAGCGATACTTGTCGACAATACTGCGCGTTAGCCATTGGTATCAGGAAGATCTATGGGATGAAAGGACGCAGGTCCACCAGGATATTAAAACGGTGCGCAAAATGCAGATGAGACTGGCGATGAGACGGAGGCTCTGTAGCTACGATGACGAGCAGATCGACGCGCTCTCTCAGATACCACATTCTTATAAAATGATACATAAAGAAATTCTGGAGAACTTTAGAGACGTATGTCCAGCGATGAAAGATCTTTAGGGTCCGTTCACAATGATCAGGACGAAAAACATCAATCAAGGCGACATACAGTCGAGCATACAGACCGTGTTTATAAGTGGATAATGATCTACTTAGACAAGTATACAATGGAATACACGGAATACATAATGGCTTGGTTTACATCCTACACTTGATACGCGTATCAGGTACTATATTCGTATCAAATTCATGTTCATCATAAATATTTAATACGCACGATGTAAACACTGACGGATTAATTTGGTGTGAGCGTACAAGTAGGAGTATCGTACTAAACTAATACCCCACACAGCACAGAAATTTCAAAAAGCTATCAGAAAGGTTTCAGAAACATTGAACCTTTTTGAAATCTTCCTGAAATCTTTCTGAAAGCTTTTTGGAACTTCTGTGCTGTGTGGGACGCGTATCAAATGATATAAAGGACGATGTAAACGTATGAAACGAATGTTGGAAGAAACTTAACCTAATTAAAACCGGTGTTATCGGTAACCGCAGATTTCTCTCAAATTATATTATAGTAAAATGTCTTGTAAAAAAGGGTTAAATTGGACAGAAGAAGAAACGAGCATATTTTTAGAATTATGCATTCCTTCTGTCGGTCGAAGCTATCTCAAGTAAATTGCAATTCCAAATACCACCATTAGGAGGTAAACGACATGAATTAAATTCGTAACATATTTTTCTTTTACTACGTTCGATGTAAACACACCCGTATTAAACCATTGGTGCACATCAAATTTAATACACGTACTAACGTTTTGACGATGTAAACCAAGCCAATGTCTGCGGCGAAGATTTGGAAGCTTTTTGCCACATGAAAGCTTTTTGGCGCAGAATTGACTACCTGTTAAAGGGCGTCTACATTGGAAGTAAGTAGTAAGAAGTAGGAAGTAAGAGTAAGAAATTGACCAACCACAGTCGAATGTGAGAAGAATAATCAACTATGATTGGTCAATTTCTTATTCTTACTTCCTA